TAAAAGGGAGAATTTACTCTGCAGTATTCGAATCCATATGAAGAGAGAAATTGGACATGTGTTGCCCATACCAAGGTTCGTGGTGAAGACGTTGAATTTAATGTCTTTTGGTGGGATGCCTGTATTTTCGGCATGAACAGCTTTTGTTGCAAGCTGGGAGCATTTTTATTATAATAATAATCGTCATCATCATAATAATCGTCATCATCATAATAATCATCACCACAATCATCATCATCATCATCATATTTATTATTATTATTATTATTATTGTTTGTGTATGTCTCCTGCTTTGTATCCTGTAGAGCCGGATCCAAACTATGGTCCTTAGGCCCTATAGGAGAATTGTCATTTAATTGATAGCACTTTTCTTAATATACGGGATGTTCCTAGTTGGGTGACCTTCTGGGCAACTTGTCTGATGTCACCTGGGACATTATTATTCGGTTGGTGCAAAAATAATGTCGTTTTTTGACGTTAAGATGAACGTCAAAAAACGACATTATTTTTGCACCTAATAGTAAAATTGTCCATTCCTTTTCTCACATGACACAGTGCTCTGATTACTACTGGTACAATCTTGGTCCTCATTCCACACATATTACTATTAATGTTTGTGTGTTATGTTTCCTGCTTTGTATCCTGTAGAGCCAAGTTTAAACAATGGTCCTTAGGCCCTATGGTAGAATTATCATTTAAGCAATAGCATTTTTCTTAGTATATGGGATGTTCCAAGTAGGGCGATCTTCTGGGCAAATTGTATGTTGATGTTACCTGTTAGTAAAATTGTCCATTCCTTTTCTCACGAGGCCCAGTGCTCCGACTACTATTGGTACAGTCTCAGTCTTCATTCCACACATCCTGTTAATCTCGATCTCCAGATCCTTGTATTTAGACAATTTCTCGATAAATTTCATGGATGTGTTTTCATTAATAATAATAATAATAATAATAATAATAATAATTCTACAGCCTCTTGGTGTCAAGATGAAAAGTGTGACACACTGATAAGCTGACATTTGCATTTATTATATTGATGGAGGAAAAATGTACTTCATGAAGTCCTAAGTGACAAGCACCTCATACAAAAACTTTTCTCATTTTGCCATAGATCTCCCCCCCCCATACGTATACGGTGTCTCTCACACCCGCAGTGATATCTCCATACATTTCCTTTTTTTTTATCATTTCACCCCTCCCAAGCAAGGCAATAAAGCCACTAAGACACAAAGGGTCACAGACAGTGTGAAAGAATCTAAGAAAAACACCATTAGTGAGAGAACATTAAAAAGAAGAGGAATTAAGAAGACAGAAGATAACGATTGACATTGCATTGAAATCTTTGAAGATCAAAGTTGACTGGAAAGTAAGAAGACTGAAAGAGAATTAGAAGACTTTAGTGAGGGGAAAGGACAATAAAAGAAGAGTAATTAAGAAGACAGAAGATAACGATTAACATTGGTTAAAAATTTCTTTAATGCAAAGTTGATTGAAAAGCAAGAAACTGGGAGAGCTCCACAAGGGAGAAGTGCGACAACTGATGAGTCCTGCCAATCTAGTCCGTGCTTAAATTTGTCAAGTATAGATACCAAAAGGGAAAGGTCATGAGAAATATTACTATAAGCTATGTCACAGTAATGGGAAAGTAACTGAATCTGATATGCCAGGTTAGGGCTAATAACATTGCAGATTGACTTGTGTGCAAATCCTTAGCTAGCAAGTGATTTAATATTATTTCTCCATTTCATGCCAGCAGAAAATGTTAGTCCAATAAGGCGGACGGGACTGGTGGCATAAGATATTTCAATTCCAAACAACAAAAACAACAATACACATGTGCGCATTTTGATTTTATTAGTGCAGACATAATTTTGCATGTATATCAAAATCTTACATCGCACAAATGCAACATTTAAAATTTCTCAAAGAACCATATTATGAGATAGGTTCTGGGCATGACGATAAACTACATCTGGCAGCAATGTCCCTGTGGGCATGACGATAAACTACATCTGGCAGCAATGTCCCTGTGGGCATGACGATAAACTACATCTGGCAGCAAAGTCCCTGTGGGCATGACGATAAACTACATCTGGCAGCAATGTCCCTGTGGGCATGACGACAAACTACATCTGGCAGCAAAGTCCTGTGGGCAAATAAACTACATCTGGCAGCAATGTCCCTGTGGGCATGACGATAAACTACATCTGGCAGCAATGTCCCTGTGGGGCATGACGATAAACTACATCTGGCAGCAATGTCCCCGTGGGCATGACGATAAACTACATCTGGCAGCAATGTCCCCGTGGGCATGACGATAAACTACATCTGGCAGCAATGTCCCTGTGGGCATGACGATAAACTACATCTGGAGTGGTAGCAATTATTGGGGCCCCAGCTATGGGTAAATAGTGCCCCCCACCCTACCAAGAAAACCCTATGAAAGTATAAAAATACATTTTTATATATATAAAAAAAAAATGCATCTTTTTTATTGTAGTTGAAGGCATGGTGGAGTAATGGATAGCGACTCAGATTGAGGGATCAGAGAGCCGAGTTTGAATTCCAATCGAATCTATTACATTCCCTTACGTGCTAATACCCTTAGGAAAGGTATAAATCCTCCTCTTCTCACCCCAGCTATGGGTAAATAGAAGAACAGACAGGGTTCTATAGCCTCGGATGGCAACTGGTCTACTGCAGAAAGAAATGGCAACCTACTGCAGGAAAAATCTGCCTCGTCAGTCATGTATCGAAAGATACATGATTGCCTAAGTGTGTATCACGCATGGCATATAACTGACTGACTGACTGACTTTCCAGTCGAATCCATTACATTCACTTACGTGCTAATACCCTTGGGAAAGGTATGAATCCTCTTTTTTCCCCAGCTATGGGTAAATAGCAGAACAGACAAGGTTCTATAGCCTTGAATGGCCAGTCTAAAGCAGAAAAAAAATGGCAACCTACTGCGGGAAAAAAATCTGCCTCATCAGACATGTATTGAAATACACATGATCGCCTAAACATGTATCACGCATGGCATATGACAGAGTTGAAGGCATGAAACCACGTTCAAAATATTTAGATTTTGGCATTAAATAATCGATAGAGGTGCTGATATGCCACTAAACAAAATCAACCAGCTAACATTACGAGATGTGCACAAATTTTATTAAGCCTAATTCACATTAGATGGCTTGGTAGACAGAAAAGCAGTATTTTAAAAATGCTTTGCCCTGCAGAAATAAATTTTAAAAATTAAAAAAAAAAAAAATAAATAAATAAAAAACTCACCTGTACAGCACATTGCAATAAAGGTGTGTGCATGTTTTTTGACAACACTTAATCTTATAGGGTTAATAGGAAGACGTTTTAGAATAAGTTCAATGAAGTCATTTGGAGTAATTGCCATTAGATCCCATTTCAAAACTGATAAAAGACACAATTCCATGGCCTGAAGAAAAGAAAGAAAAAGAAACAAATTTAGGGAAGAAAGCAAAAATAGCTTCAAACAATTTGACAATCTGCACAATTCCTACCAGACCATTCCAAATGGTTGAATCAGCCAAGGCTACCATTTAAGGCCATTTCAAACAAAAGAATATTAACAAAAGGAATTCAACAATTTTTAACCTTCATGCCTGCAAGAAAATCAAGTCAATTCTCAAGAACAAAGAAAATGTATAAATTCACTTTCATGTGTTCAGATTTTAAATTTCTAATTAACATTTTTTTAAACAAAATATTGCCGAGGGATGAGGGTAGTTAAATAATAGCGGTGTCAAAGGAAAAACTGTCTTAACATAAAAAAAGGTAAAAAAGAAAAAAAAAAAAAAAATGAAAAAAAATTCTAGAAGAAAAAAAAAAAAAAAAAAAAAATTCTAGAAGAAAAAAAATGAAAAAATTCTAAAAGAAAAAAAAAATGAAAAAAATTCTAAAAAAAAAAAAAATGAAAAATTCAAAGAAAAAATGAAAAAAAAAAAAAAAAATGAAAAAATCAAGAAAAAAAAAAAAATGAAAAAATTCAAGAAAAAAAAATTTCAAGAAAAAAAAAAAAAAAAAAATAGAAATAATTCCTGAAAAAAAAAAAAAAAAAAAAAAAAAAAAAAGAAAAATAATTACAGTAATATAACAGCTCTTAAAAAGGAAGTTATCCAATTATTTTTACCAATATAAAAAGGCGTTATCACCCCCACCTCACGTCACTCTCCAGAGTTCTAAACATTTCATTGAATGAATTCTGAAACTGGTTCAAAGCCCCTATTGAAGAAATTATTTGAAGTCTTTACTATATGAGCAACCATCCAAACCCAATACTATTTTCAGTTACCTCCCTTGAATAATGCAAAATCCAAACCAAGGGAAATAATTCACTTCATTTATTTGCTTAGTAACAAGGAAGGACTTAAGTGGTATGCCGGCTCATTAAGAAGTCCTCTTTAGTCACATAGTTTGACTAGTATTGCTTGTTACCAAGCAGAAAGAGAAAAGAAAAAAGGAAACGTGTAGTATAATAGCCACTTATACAGTTTTGGCCCATCCCAAATTACAGATTTTACTCGTCACCTTAAAATCCAATGGGAATGGCCACGTTTTGTTTTTTAATTAATCTCCACGTATAATTGTAACATTTTATCATTTTATAAAAAAAAAAAAAAAAAAAAAAAAAAAAAAGGTCACAATTAGTAACACAAATTCTTTGCAGATATGTGCCGTGCCATATGCAAATAATCCTGGATATTTTATGAGTACTATGCGTGTAATAATCACTAAAAGTTTGCAGTGAAATGTGAAAGATTTGTTTGTCTAAGGTGCCTTCCAAGTAAAAACATTGTTGGGCCAAGCAGACAAAAGGAGTAAGAAGCGAATCTAAGTGGTTAGAACATAGAAACCAAAAGAAGAAAGGACCGATTTCCACTTAAGTATACAATAAAAAAAATAAATAAATAAAACAACTTCTCAAAACGAAACGAAAATTAGGTGGACCTAAATTCTTTTTAGAGGAGTCTAAAAAAGAGAGAAAGAGAGAGAAAGAGAGAGAAAGAGAAGAGGAGAGAAAGAGAGAGAAAGAGAGAGAAAGAGAGAGAAAGAGAAGAGGAGAGAAAGAGAGAGAAAGAGAGAGAAAGAGAAGAGGAGAGAAAGAGAGAGAAAGAGAAGAGGAGAGAAAGAGAGAGAAAGAGAAGAGGAGAGAAAGAGAAGAGGAGAGAAAGAGAGAGAAAGAGAAGAGGAGAGAAAGAGAGAGAAAGAGAAGAGGAGAGAAAGAGAAAGAGAAGAGGAGAGAAAGAGAAGAGGAGAGAAAGAGAAAGAGAAGAGGAGAGGGAGAGAGAAAGAGAAGGAGGGAGAGAGAAAGAGAGGAGGGAGAGAGAAAGAGAGGAGGGAGAGAGAAAGAGAGGAGGGAGAGAGAAAGAGAGGAGGGAGAGAGAAAGAGAGGAGAGGTGAATAAAGAGAGGAGAGGTGAATAAAGAGAGGAGAGGTGAATAAAGAGAGGAGAGGTGAATAAAGAGAGAAGGGGTGAATAAAGAGAGAGTCAGAAGCCAAAAAGGAGATGAGAAAAATATTATCAGTTGATAAACATGAAAAAATACCTCACAAAACCACATTCCATCAACATTGGAAAATTCAATAAAATACAAGTTATTCTCCAT